CACACACACACACACACACACAAATAAATTTTTAAAAAAATTTTAAAAAGGAATGTTTGTTCTGAGACCACACATTTCTCTGTTAAGGGAAAAAAATAGTCAAAAGAAGTTGAGGTACCTATGTAAATAGGTTATGATAGTAATCTATTTTTATTTTTAGCCTTAAATGGTTTATTTTGCTATGATTTAATAGTTTTAACTTGGCATACAATTTTGGACAATTGAGTTTCCATTGCTGAAGTTTCAGTCAGGTTGTATTCCGCTTTTTAGGTTAGTCTTTTTCTCTAGCTCTATTTAAGATCTTTTCTTTGTTTTCTGTGTTCTGCAGTTGCACTGTGATGTGGATGATGAAGGATTTTTTTGGTTTTTAATCCTACTTGAAACTCAGACTTGCTAGATCTGAGGTTTTCCACTTACTGTGAAAAAATTATCATTATCTCTAGTTATTACCTTTCCTTTAATCCTTTTTTTTTTTTTTTTTTTTTTTTGGAAAGTAAATGGCATGCCTTGATTTTTTTTGTTTGGTTTTGGTTTTGGTGAGGCAGGGTCTCATTATATAATTTGGGCAGGCTTTGAACTCACTGTATAGCACAGGCTGACCTTGAACTTGGAGCCATTGCCCTCTAGCCTCCCAGTTGCTGAGTTACAGATATGTGCCACCCTACCTGGCTTTATGTTTTTTTAACCTAGCTTTTAAAATTTTTAATATGTTTCTTTAGACTACATTCTAGAAAAATTTCCCATATCTGTATTTGGGTTCACTAGTTCTTCAGTTATGTCTAAGATGTTTAACATGTCCATTGAATCTTTAAATTTCAGTTACTCTTTTTAATTTCTAGAGAGTTTAATTTTTCTAATCTGTGAGTATCCTTCTCCTACTTTGGAGCTTCTCTTTGCCATAAATGAAATGGTATTTTCCATCAGTCCTAGAAGCTGCAGATTTTTCTGCATGAGTTATTTCTTTGGGCTCTCACTCACTTGTTCATATATTTTAGGATTTTTGACTGAGAGCTAGCCATTGTCTTGAAAGCTATTTGTGTTAGTGAAGACCTATATTGCATTTCAGTTCTTTCAGAAGGGATTTGTTTATATCTCTGCTCTTTATGTGGGTTTATTACAATACGTGACTCTTTACCTTATGCTTTCTGTTTGAGACTTTTTAAGCCACACTACTTGCACAAATTACACTTCAGGGTGACAGCTGATTTGAGCTTGAGTTTCTATTCAGTACCATAGATAAAACATAGAAATCTTTCTTGCTATTCTTTCATTTTTGTAAAGCTGAGATTTGTTGTTTTCCTCCTCTATACCATGAATGTACGTACAACCTTGACCCTTGGACAAGCTCTGAGCTGTGTCTCTGTCTAAAAAAACATGCTTTGAGTCATTAGCAGTACTAATCAAGGTTGTCAGGGTTTGGCATATAAATTCAGGGAAAAAAGTACTTTGCCCCAGTTTGGATTTTGTTTTGTTTTGTTTTTTGTTTTGAGCTATTTAAATATTCTCAACATCTGAATTGTTTCAGTGTGAATATTCATTTAGGTTATTCTTTGCTGTACTACCAAAAATAGAAATTTGCTCTTCACATTTTTATCATTCTTATCATATAGGCTTTATAAACTCCTGCCCATATTTTTCTCTAAGGACAGTGTTTTATCTCCATTTTACAGAAGCTGTTTTGCACAAATGCAGATTTTAAAGATTACACAGTGGTAGTTTAAATTAAGAGCAAATAGAACACCTTTCACCTCTTATTACATTATCTGTACACTGATAGGGTTCTGATTAAATCAGACCAAGACCAGTGGCATTTTAAAAAAATCACTAGCAGGATTCATCTTGGTATTTGAAGCACTCATACTTTTCTGCTCATTTAGGTTTGAAGATATAGACTATAAAAACTACCATTTTTGGCCAGGGAGATGGCTCAGTGGAATAACTGCTTCCCTGGCAAGCGCAAGGGCCTGAGTTCAATTCCTGGTTCTGCCAAAAATAAAAAAATAAAAAATAAAATTCTAACTTTAAAAAATAAATAAATAAATAAAATAAAAAAAATAAGGAGAGTCACATGGGGAGAAGACACTCTCTCAGGCTTTCACAGAGAGCACACTGGCCAAGCATTGGCCGTGACTCATCCACATGGCTGACACTGACAAAGGTTCTACAATCTGAGGTACAGGATCTCAGGATAAATCCTGAGGGCATTTCACTGACCTTCTCAGACCAAAAAGCTACAACTCTTGTTGCACAGATCCTGCTTTACCTTGGTCTTAACCATCCAGTAGAAAAGTATGAAGATGAAATATAGGAAGTAAAGCCATGTTGTTATGTTGAGCTGTGGGTGACTCAGGTCAATAATTTCTGACATTGCCAGTTAAACAGAAGACCCAATGCTATTATGGGCTACTGGACTCTTTTAGAATATTTTGCTGAGTTTACACACCTATAATATTCAACAACGTAACTTAAAAAAATTGGGGTATAACTATGAATGTCCATTTTGTATCTGTGTATTCAAAGTGGTTGGGATAGATATATAGTTGCATTCTCTTAATGAATAGGATGATTTTTTTCTAATGGTGTTTGTAAGTAGGATCACAAGTCTGCATCTTGTACAGCAATTAACCACTAAGAAGAATATATGCAGTGTATTATTTGTTGAAACTGTACTTTCGATTTGATTTGAAACTGTCTCATTGCTATATGTTTATCAATAAAACTTAAAAAAAAAAAGCTACCATTTTTGAAGTAATCATTTATTTTGAACTCTTGTCACTACTACTTAACAGACATTTGGAACAAAACTGGAGCTGTTAAATTGATCAGATGGTCTCCTGACAATAGTGTTGTACTTGTGACCTGGGAATATGGAGGCTTTTCTTTATGGAGTGTGTTTGGAGCCCAGCTGATTTGTACACTTGGAGGAGATTTTGCGTAAGTCCATAAAAACAAATTTTAGATAAAATAACACTGTTACCTCCCTTACCTCCCCCTAAAAATATATATACACGTACATATATATATACACACACATATGCAGACAGACACACAAAATCCTTGTGTCACAGAGTTATACTGTTTGCTTACTTGATTCTTACCCCAAAATGGTAATATTTACAATTAATTTGTTCAGAATATATAGATTCTCCAAACATCCACCCTCATAAAACTTATAGTTCATTATTTAAAAGTACATTTATTGATCTTTAGCACTAGGGAAAAGAAGTTATTGTATACATGACCTCATGTTAGATTTACAGTTGAATCAGACATAATTCTACCTTTAAGTAACTTATTATCCAATAAGAATGATAAGCCACATACATAAATAGCTAGTAGGAAGTAGAAAATTACATTATTTCATTGGGTTAACGTAGGTGAGTTAACACAATAGGTTGACAGAGCAGGTTGATTTTTCTCATCTTTTTATACTATCCTGAACCCTAGTCTGGTGAAATGAACATACCTTCCCAAGCTGTGTGATGCTGTCAGGAAGACAGCTGGAGTACGTGCTAGGCTGTAGGTTTATTTCATGCACTATGTATTTCTAAGTTGAAGGAGCAAAATCAGTTTGATTTTTAAAAACCAGCTGAGGGGACCAGGGAGATGGCTCAGTGGAATAAGCGCTTCCCTGGCAAGCGCAAGGGCCCGAGTTCAATCCCAGTTCTAAAAAAATAAAAAAAAAATAAAAAAAATCTGAATAATGTATACATTATATGCAATAGGAAAACTCAGTTATTCTGTTTCAGTTATAGGTCTGATGGTACCAAAAAAGATCCCCTAAAGATCAACTCTATGGTAAGTACTTTTATAAAAATTGGCATAGCATAAGAAACTTGGATTTTTGTTTGTTTGGTTTTTTGGTTTTCCCCTCTCATATTGGTCTGATAATCACAGAGCTATTTTAGCTTAGTAGGTTGTTCTTTATATGATTCTTAGCTAATACAAAATTATCATAGAAAAACAAAACTTTTTTTTTTTTTTTTAAAGACAGGGTCTCAATTCAGGCTGGCCTTGAGTTTACTGTATAACCTACAGTGGTCTTGAATTCATAGTGATTCTCCTGTCTCAGCCTCCCAAGTGCTGGGATTACAATGTACACCAGCATGCCTGGGAAAAAGTTTGAACTTTTGCAATATTCATAGATACCTCTCCCATCCTATTACTATTAGGCCCACAAATTGAGAATCACTCATTTTAAAAACACTATCATTGAATCTAATTATAGAACATGAAACATGAAATTTATTTAAACCTTTGAACTTTATAGAGGAAGAACTTAGACCTTGGTAAACCAAATAGCTGGTTCACAGTTACGTAACAAAAGTCCGGGCTGGAATGAAGCTGCTAGTCTCACAGCTTCCAATCTGATACTCTTTGCTATATGCAAAAATGCATCTAATGCTTCTTTGCTGAGCTCGATGGAGAAGTTATCAAAGCAGTAGGTATTTGTTAGGATTGGGATCCTGAGGTTAAAGCTAAGAATAGTACTTAGTATTTTCATCATTCTGATTAGAAGGCAGTAGTAGTGGTTTTCTCTGGAGATAACTAAAATATACCTGGGAGGTATGGCTCTTTTTTTTTTTTTTTTTTGCGTTATTACAGTTCTTTCAACCTACAAAAGTTCTTAATCATACTGTCATTGGTTACTTCAGATACTGATTTCAGGATAAAGGATAATGAGAACATTTTATTCTGACATTTTGTCTCTTCTTCCTCAAGTGCTGGGGTGCAGAAGGCTATCACCTATGGGTAATCAGTGGATCTGGATCTCAACACACTTCCCTTGAGGCTGACCTAAGGAGTACAGTTAAACAACCCAGCATTTTGCTATTTCAGTTTATCAAGAGTGTACTCACTGTAAACCCCTGTATGGTAAGTGTATTGAAACTCTATTTCTTTAGTGACTTTAATGTCAGAATTTCAAACCTTTTTTATGACTCATAGATGTTGAATATCCTCCTTAAATTGGCATATCACCTTCTTTTCTGTATTTTCTGTGATTTTTCTATTTATTTTAAATTTATACCAAAATCTTATTTCTGTACATGTTCAGATTTTTGGTGTTTCGTTGTTTTTTAATAGGACTACATGCTCTATGTTCAAGTTGAATAACTTGAATAATTTAGCCATTTCCTGCATAGTATTGTTAAACTGTGTTCCACTCAGCTTCCCTAGTGCTGGGATTACAGGGGAGTGCCACCAGGCCTGGCCCTTTGTATTGTTTTCTTATTCTCATTTGCATTTATTTCAGCTTTGATCTTTAGAATTTCCTTCCTCCTAGGAGCTTTGACTTGAACTTGCTCCTTTTCAAGAAATTTGAGGTTCAACATTATTTATTTTGCCCAGTCATGCTATAAATTTTCCTGTTAGGACTGCTTTTATTGTATCCCATAAGTTCCACTATGTCTTACCAGTTTTATTATTAAATTGTAGAAACTCAAGTATCTTTTTAAATTTTATTGTGATCCATTGGTGGTTCATGAGACTTTTTTGTTTTATTTTTGAGACTGAGTGTTACTGTGTGATTCTGGCTGGCTTTGAACTCATTATGTGGCCTAGACTGGCCTCAAACTCACAGTGATCAAGAAAATCTGAAGAAATTCATGATTACCAAACCAGCCCCCAAAAAAGTTATGAAGGATATCCTAAATAATGAAAACACCAATTCCAAGAATCCTAGTAGCATGAATCCACCAGCCAAGGCAAGCAATTATATAGAAGGGGCAGAAAGGGAGCCAACAACAGGAAAATAATATGACATAGATAAGTCAGTAGAAGTTACAAACATTAGTATAAATGGTCTCCATTCACTAATCAAAAGAAACAGATTTGCAGAATGGATCAATAAACAAGATTCAACTTGTTGCATATAATAATGCATATCATAATGCTGCATATTAATATACATATTTAATTCAAATTCATTAACTGAAAGGATTGAAAACAATACTCCCATATGACAGGAACCAAAAAAAAAAAGCAGGGGTACCTACTGTGTTTGCAGATGATGTGACTTTCAAGGCAAGATTGATCAGAAGAGAAACAAAGAAGGCCTCTACATGTTAAGGGAACAATCCAAGAGGAAGTGATCACCATCTTAAATATATATGCACCAAATACCAGTGCAATCACCTATATAAAACAAACACTAATGGATAAAAAAAAAAAAAAAAGATAATCACTTGTTTTAGACTCCTATGCATATATTGTTTGATTTACAAGTCTCTTCTTTCAAATTGATTTTTCATCAAGACATATCCATCCATCCATCCCGCCATCCCACCCGTCCTGTTAGTTGTGTTATAGTTGATGTTCTCTGAGTTTCTCCGGCATGTCTCTTCCTCTGCTCCACTGTGTTGCTCTCCTGTTGTGAAATCTTTCCTGGATTCTGTGCTTCATGATCAGGTAGTTCTAGAATGGCAAGCTTCACACACACACTGGCAAGTTTCACACACACACACACACACACACACACACACACACACAGAGTTAATTGCTGGCAACACCTTTCTCAAGTCTTTTTTTTGTTGTTGTGAGCTGGGAACCAATCTCAGGATCTTGCTCTTGCCAGACAGGAGCACCGCTGGGCTATATCCTCGGCCCTTCCTTTCTCAAATCTTATAATATTAAAAAGGGACATTAAAGATTCCAGTAAAGATAGCAGTTATTATGGGTTATGTCTAGATGTTCCCTTCACAAACTTTGCTCAAGCATGTTCTTTTTCTTAAAACCATTCATACTTTTTGTAAAACTGATTTGTAAACTATAAACAAAATGTAGTTACATTGTTTTTCAGATACTAGTATCTCTCATAGTAATGCTATTTTAGAAGTAGTGAAAAATACTACAATAGCAATTCTAAACAACTATGATAAAACAGATGTTAGTATTATTAGAGACAGTACTTTAATATTTATACTAGTGGGGCCGGGGAGATGGCTCAGTAGGATAAGCGCTTGACTGGCAAACGCAAGGATCTGAGTTCATTCCCTGGTTCCGCCAAAAAATATATATATATTTATACTAGAAAATAATCATTAAAGTATTATCTCTTTAAATATAATACTGCTGAGATTATTATGTAGTTTTTGTCCTCTGTAAAGAAAATCAACGTTGAGATTCGTGGCACATTTTCTATAATAGAAAGTGTTACTTATTTTCCTCACCTAATGATAAATTATTTTTATTTGATTTTTCTCCTTTGCTCCTTTTTATCTAGAGTAACCAAGAGCAGGTATTGCTTCAAGGAGAGGATCGTTTGTACTTGAACTGTGGAGAGGCCTCACAATCCCAGAACCCCAGGAATTCCTCAGCACACTGTGAGCATAAGCCCAGGCCAGAAAAGAGCTTATTCGCAGATGGAGGTTTAGAGTCTCAAGGTTTAAGCAATTTACTTGGACATCGGCATTGGCATGTTGTACAGGTAGGTGTTTATCATTTGATAACTAGGCACTCAGTCCTTGGTAAAATATCCCTTGTGCTAGATTTTTAAGTATGATTTTATCTCTTATTTCAGAAAACTGAGAATTTTTATCTTTTTGACTGTTACATCTCTCCTGCTTTTCTGTGTTCTTGTCCTCTTGTTTTCTTTCACTTGATACAGTGTATTTTCACCTATTTTAAGTCTCTTATTAGTGTCAAGAGCTAGGAGTTCATTTTTCTCTCTCATTGAAGGTAACTTTATTTTACTTTCAGTTTTTTTTATATAACCTAGTTCTGTGGATTTTTGTAGGCAAAAGTACAATCATTGCGTGGAAAATGGCGATGCTACCTAATACCCTGTGTACCTGACCCTGTCGTCATCCTGGGGCTGCTTTAAGGCAGTCACCTGACAGTGGATCCAAAGTATAAACTTGGGGTTACTATGGAATTTTATTAATAATAGTACTATAATTTAATATTATCCCAAATTATTTATTAATTCTCAGCATTTTAAAATTATCAATTTCTTTTAATCTGATAAATTTGTACTTAATGTGGAAATCAATTCTGAATTTAAAGCAGCTTAAAGACATTAACTTCAAAGACCTGGGGGTTTTCTTTGCCTTTTGATACCAAAGTGCATCAGCATTTACTCTTAGATTAGTTTGTTGTTGTTGTTGTTGTTGTTGTTGTTTTCTTGTATTTAAGTCAGTTTGTTTCCACTATTTGCCTTTTGGTCTCCATACTTTATGTTACTAGCTTACTTTAGCTCTCATGATATTTTCATTTGGCTTTGAGATAGATAATGAGAGACAGAAAAGATGCTCATTATGTGAAAGAGTAAGGACTGTCTCCTACATTAACTGTGGTATGCACTAAAAGAAAATGTATTTACCTTACATTAATAAATTCATAGTCAAAACAATGTACATACCATTTTATAATTAGTAACAATTATTAAATAAATTTGCATCAACTACTTCCTTGACTAAAATTTTCCACTGCTCCCTTCTCTCCTATAGCCATTTCTCTGCTATTTTCATTTCCCCATACTTTGAACTATTCATTCTACACTGACCTAGCATCAATGCCAGTTCTGCCTAGCCAGGTCTGTGTTACCAGAGAGCCAAGTAGAGCAGAGGATCAAAGAAGGTAGGTCCGGAACTAAAAAATCCATCAGGCAATAACAAAATTGAATTTCCTTCCAGCTGAAAACTTCAGTGATTCTTAGCCTTCTTTTCACAAAGACAGAAGATACAACACTTGGGTCCGGGGAGATGGCTCAGTGGAATAAGCGCTTCCCTGGCAAGTGCAAGGGGCCTGAGTTCAATCCCCAGTTCCACCAAAAAAAAAAAAAAAAAAGAAAAGAAGATATAACACTGACTTTAGGACTTTAGGTACTAGTAAGATTTTTGTCATCCTGTTCTAAAGATACAGGAAAAAAAAACTTTTTAAACCTGAGTGTACCTAGGTTTTATAGTTCTCTTGAAAATAGCACATTTGTACTCCTTAAACAATTAAAATTATAATACAATTTTTAGAGTTGGGAGGACCTTTGAGGTCATGTAGTCCAGCTAAATTTTATACGTGAGAAAACCTTACCTCAGAGAAGTTATGTCACTTGCACAAGGCCACCCAGTAGAGCAAAGGCAGACCTATTCTTACTGTGATCTGCATTAAAGTAAGAGACCTAATGTGTTTTGAAATTTAAAATCAAAATGTTGAGTCATTTTAGCTTCTGACCTTAATGAAGTTGCCCTACAGTCTGTTTACTAGCAACTACCTCATGCTTGAGTGCAGAGTAATGATGGTCTTTCAGCAGGGTGCCTACGGTGTCTCTGTAATACTAAAGCTTTGCCTTCCAGGCTTCTTAGGCAGTAATGATGATTCCCTGAAGAAACATGGGTGCCTGCTTCAACATGCTCTCTTTTCTAGGATGAGACCACATCTTCCATCAAAGTTGATTCGTTTGTGTAATTTATATTTTGTATGCTTCTTGTGTAGCTTAGAATGTGTCTAATGAGTCCAGCTAATTCTGTTGTTTCTGTTCCTTGTTTAGAGTACTGGATTTTTGTTTGTCTGATCCTTGTACTCCTTAACCTCCAGATTAGAAGTCTGTGCTAACCATTCTTCCTTTAGCTAATACTTGTCAGAAGGAGTGATAGAAGCTATTAGTAAAGATAGTGTATTTATTTTTAAATTTTTATTTTTGTGGTTACAAATTTAGAAAGTAATGGCATACAATATGAAATTCTGTACAAAGTAAAAGATCTACTTTTAGGCTATATTTCTGCTCAGACTCCCATTTTTTTATACTCCATATTTTGTACAATGTGAACATTTATTTCAGAAAGATGAATTAGTTATTATCCAGTCTTACGTGCTGGCTTTATAACCTGGCTTTATTTGGCAAACATAATGCTTGCAAAATATGCACAAAAAGTGCTTTTCCTGTATTGGGCCCTATGTTAGGGTTGTTAACAGTGATTTTTAAGGACTGTTTCACTTACAAATAATTGACTTTCATCCTCCAATATGTATCAGATGTATCAGGTGTGATATTTGGCACAGATTGAATCTGCTAGGAAAATGGGTCTCATCTTCTTGCCACCTAGGCAGGAGACAGGATTTTAGCACTGACTTTAAAATTTAAAAAGTAAACAAAAAATCAGATTTAGCTTAAGAAAGCCTATAAAATCTTATAATAAGGATGGAAGTTCTTTTGTAGCTTGGCCCTTAGATCTCCAGCGATGTGGCATGATTTGTGCCCTGAGTATGCGTTCCTGACCTGAGTTTCTTCGTTGTTCATTAGCTTTTCTTGTTGCCATTTCCTGTTCTCAGGACTAGGTGTACAGTTCCGAGTTCTCATGACATGAATCAGTAGAGGTGACCAGCTAGGACAAGTTTTTATTGTCTGTGTTTTACAGCATCTTCAAACAAAAACAATCAATGACAAATAAAACTTCATTTCATATGAGATATATGTGTGTGTACCACACTTGGAATTTTTTATGTTTTATTTCTGTTTTGTTTTTATAAAACTTCATTTTAAAATTATATCCTGAGTTTTAAAAATAAACCACTCATAATTGTGGTGCTTCACAGACTTACAGGTAAAAAGAATAAATTATTTTCTCCTATAATACCTATTGGATTTTACTTTTTTCTTATACTTAGAAACTCTTTCTGTTAGAATCTAGTTTTGCAGTAAGATTAAAATTCCCAAATTACCCAGCCACACATTTCATAAGTAATAATGACATACCAAAGTTTGGGGAAGTTGATGTTTTTTCATGCTGTAGTGAATGAGAAATTATACTCAGGTACTTTTGTTATATCCATCTTTAAAGTGACTGTTGTTTTTTTCTTAATTTAAAAAAGGAATTTCATGTACAGCCACATAGAAATTTGTGTTTTACTTTTATATAACCAATCATTGCTTCATGTTTACCATTATTCTTAACTGATTTTGTCTATTGTAGTAAATCTTATCAATTGGACTGAGCAATATAGCATATCTGTTAAGATTCAAATTAAGCATTCTCAGGCATGTATCATGGCTGTTGTCTTCATTCTATGAGGTAGGCTTCCACAAAACCAGTTCTAGGATTTAAAAAAAAATTTTTTTTAATATATTTGATTTTTTTGAGCTGTCTACTACACAGCTCAGACTCATAGTGATCCTCCTGTTTTCAGCCTCCCCAGCGCTGGGATTACAGGCATGCACCACCACTCCTGGACTCAGTGGCGAGCTCAGCAAGCCCCCGGGGCTGGGCTGGTGCAACATGTGGTGCCAGGGATCAAACCCCAGTCCCTGTGCTTGCCTAAGCAGGTGCTTAGTCTGCTGAGCTATCTTGCCAGCCTCTTAAAAACTTCTAATGTACTAAACTATTTGTAATTTAGTTGAATTTTAAGTTGACTTGTTAGATGTGAAATCTTAGTTTTATGAATAAGTTTCATCAAGCAAGGGCAATACAGATACTTTCAGCATATTATTTTTACTTGAATTTTATTTTTTTGCCACACTTTTGCAATTGTCATTGCACTTTACATGGCTTGTTTTTGTTTTGCCTTTTGAGACAAGGCCTTGCTGTGTTCCTAACTGGCCTCAATGTATTTTTTTTTTTTTTTTTCGGAACCAGGGATTGAACTCAGGCCATTGTGCTTGCCAGGCAAGCGCTTATTCTACTGAGCCATCTCCCTGGCCCCTGGCCTCAATATCATGATTCTCCTGCCACAGACTCTTGGATATCATAATTACAGGCAACTACTACCACACCCAGCTGCATGAGATTTTTTTTTTTTTTTTTTCCCAGAACCGGGGATTGAACTCAGGCCCTTGCACCTGCCAGGGAAGCGCTTATTCCACTGAGCCATCTCCCCAGCCCCTTCATGAGATTTAAATTTGGCTTTTTTAAAAAAAGATGCCAATTTTTGGAGTAAATCTGAATAACGTAAAGCTTTTCTTATTCTAAAAACAGAAGATTCTTCTTGTGTTGTTCTGCTAATTCATACCACATTCTGACCAAATGCTCATGAGAAACATTTAGATTAAAGCTGGGCATAGTGGGCACATGCCTATAATCCCAACTATTTAGGCTGAGGCAGAAGGATCAGAAATTTGAGACCAGGCTGGACAATTTAGCAAGACCCTGTCTCTAAATGAAATGGAGTAAAAAAGATTGACAGTGTGCCTCAGATGTTTCTTCAGTTGTCAATGTTACACACACACACACACACACACACACACTGCACAAAGTATATATAATGCATATGTATATGTACATATGTAGGTTGATTAGGAGGCTGGTAGAGAGATCAGATTCTTAATAGAGCTAGAATTTGGTTAATTCACATTGAAATCTCCGACTGGATTAAATTTAAAAGTAGAATAAATCAGTGACAATGTACAAAGATGTAAGATAGGTAACACGGGAGAATATATTTACCACTGATACTGCAGATAAAGTATGAGTATCTTCTATATTAAGATATCTTGTAAATGTAATACTTCAGTAGAAAAATAGCTTAAACACAGCCCTACAGGTATGGGGTAAAATAAAAGCTAACCAGTAGCTGCCTGTGAGCAACAGAATTTAATTTTGTGTACTTTGTACATTTTTGTATTACTTGATTTTATAAACATTGCTTCTTCAATCAGAAAAATATACCATAAATAGAATATTCCATTAAAAGCCGTAATTTGTCAGAGGTATAACTTAGTGGCACAGCCCCTGCCTGGAAAATGAAAGGTCCTGAGTTTGAGTCCTAGTACCTTTTAAAAAAAAAAAACAAAACCAAAACCCTTGCTGAAGCACAAATTTTATTATATAAGGTTGTTTGCGGATAGTTTACATCTGCAAAACAAAATTGTTCTTCTGTACAGTTCATAAATATCCTCATGTGTGCTTCATTAAAAAATCTCACCAGTCTCTATTTATTGAGTTAATAATACAAATAAGACTTTGTGAAAGGAGAAAGGAAAGCCTGATATCTACAAACTTTAAATTGTTAAAACATGAGATGTGAAATATTAACTCGTATATAAATAGTTAATTCCAAGTACTTTGCTACTAATGCCCCTATTTGTGTCTCCTTAAATATTGTACAGGAAACTGAATCATAAGTTAAAACTTTTAAGTTTAAATATATTTCTTAAGTCTTACCAATCTGATATGTTATTTTCTGTAGATTTCCAGCACCTATCTAGAGAGCAATTGGCCTATACGGGTGAGTTCTCTTGTTGGCTTTAACTTCATTGGAAAGCAAGTGCTGCATGAGGCTTACTGAGAATTAAGCCTTTAATGTGTGTATTGACACAAGTAAAATTTTAACATTTGATTTGTTATACATTGCTAGCACTAACATGTATAATTTCATCAAATATAAATATAAATAAATACTCAAATTTTAAAATCTGGCATTTTATGTTTAATTGACTTAGCAAGCATTTATTAATTATTTAGCTTACACAAACTAAGCACTTTATAGGCAACAAAGTATGTAGGTTTGCAATGACAAAGTCTTCGTTTTTTTAAACAGTTTTCAGCTATTGATAAACTTGGACAGAATATTGCTGTGGTTGGCAAGTTTGGTTTTGCACACTACTCTTTACTCACCAAAAAATGGAAACTTTTTGGAAACATTACTCAGGTTAGTCATCCTCAAATATTTAAAAACCAATTCCTCAGTCTAGAAAAAGTACAATATGATATAACTATATCTTAACTCATTATTTATTAAAAAAGAAAATCAAATATAATAAATGATGTTGGATAATGTCTGAATGAATTATATAATTTGGTAAAATATCTAGTATTGAAATGTGACACCACACATAGTGTCAATTGCTGTCTTACTGCGCCCCAGGAGTGGGGCCAGCATGGCAGGCCTGGGATCAAACCTCCAGCCCCTTTAATCCGCTGAGCTATTTGGCCGGCCCTTGAAATGACTTGTTTTTAATTCCTATTGGGATTAGCAGCATTCTTTAGCTTGAGGATGCAATCTTTCAAATTGAATTTGTTAGCCACGTGATAAGAATAAATTTCCACAAAATTATGAATTATTCCCTGCTTGTCTGTATGTGACATATTGGTGTGAATGCTGCTGTCAAAGGCCTGTGGATAGGCAGGGATCTTCAGTACAAGCAGATACGGAATCTTAATAGCAGTGTGTGGCAGATTTTAATTTGTTTGATGCAGTTAGCGGTTGGTGAGCTCATCTGATAAAAAAGCAAGAATTTAAACAAAGATTTTTTGGAAGTGAGAATAATGGTACTATATGGTTCTCAGTTATTTTGAATGCTGTGTTTGCATCCTTAATTAAATTTTTTTTCATATAGGATATGAACCATTACTAATAAAGACTCTAGAACAGTAATAGCGAACTTTTTAGATTTCTCAGTGATAACAAATATCCCATTGTTGGTTCCATAACTTTGCCCCCATTGCCCTAGAATAATAATCTAGCAGAGAGAAGAGAGAAAAGCAGAAATAATTTGAGCTTTGTTTATCTGCCTTAGAATATTTTGTATTATTTTCTTGTAATTTCTGGTAACATAATTAAGATATATACATTTTAAAACTTTTCTTTTTAAGGAACAAAATATGATTGTGACTGGTGGCTTAGCTTGGTGGAATGATTTTGTGGTCCTTGCATGTTACAACATAAGTGACCGTCAAGAAGAAGTAAGTTGTTTTTCCCTCCTCTCAGAAAGAATAGAGTTTTATATTTTAGAGCTAATAAGCTCTGTACAGAAAGTAATTTGTTGAAAACTGTTAGGATTTTTCTTTTTTAGGTAGTGTTTCTTTGTAGTCCAGGCTGGCCTTGAATTTACTGTGTAACCCAGGCTAGCCTCCAACTCTGGGTGGTCCTTCTGCCTCTGCCTCCCAAGTTCTAGGATTATAGGTGTGTGCCACCATGCCTTGCTTATGACTTCTAAGATAACCTTTTCTACGGATTTTTAGTTGTTAGGCATTCTTAATAAAATTTGATAATTAAAAAAAATTAAGCCAGGTGTGGTGGTGCATGCCTGTAATCCCAGCATTTGGGAGGCTGCAGCAGTAGGATTGCTGTGAGTTCCAGGACAGCCTGGAGTACATGAGGGAGTTCAAGGGTCCTACAAGGTCCTGTATTACATAGCAAGACCCTGGCTCAAAAATACATACATACAGGGCTGGCCAGATAGCTCAGCAGACTAAAGCGCCTGTTCAGGCAGATGCAGGGACTGGGGTTTGATCCCCATTGAGCTGTGCTGTGCTGGCCCTGCCCCCGGGGCACACTGAGAGGGCAACTGAGAGTGGACATGGTGGCACGTGCCTGTAATCCCAGTGCTTGGGAGGCTGAAAACAGGAGGATCACTACAAGTCTGATCTGTGTAGTAAAACCCTGTATATCCTGTGCTAAATACATATTAAAAAATACATACATATGTACATATAATTTTGTAAGAATGACTGTTCTTGAGCCAGCTGCACTATAATCTCAACCCTCAGGAAGCTGAGGCAGGAGAATTCCTGCAGGTTCAAGGCCAGGCTAGGCTATAGAAGTGAGTTCAAGGCCAGCGTGAACTACATAGGAGGACCCTATCTCAAAACAAACAAAAAAACATGTTCTTAAAGATTTACTAATTTATATGTTTGCTTTCAGTAATGTCTGATCTCATTAGTCTACGTAGGCAAGTTTAAAAGTAATGTCTTAATATTCACAATTTGGAGCACTTTGGGTTATTTGTAAAATGAGCCTAGCCTTCCCAAAATACAAACTTTATTTATTTATTTAGTACAGGGTTTGCAGGGTGTTTGGGGTCTCACTACATAGATTGGACTCATAGTGATCTCCTGGTTTTTTTTTTTTGTTTGTTTGTTTTGTTTTGTTTTGTTTTGTTTTGTTTTTCAGCCTCCCAAGCACTGCAATTACAGGGGCGCACCACCTCGCCCAGTCTCAGTTGTTGTCTCAGTGTGCCCGGGGGGTGGGGCCGCCATGGCACGACCCTCATAGTCCATTTATTACTAAAGATTTAGGGGGCCAGGGAGATAGCTCAGTAGAATAAACACTTAGCTGGCAAGTGCAAGGGCCTGTGTTCAATCCCTGGTTCTGGGAA